CAGGGCATAGTAATATTTAATAAAAGCGCGCACATAATCTTCAGAATTAGCATTTTGTGCCTTGCAGTACCTTTGGGAGAAGAGCTTTTATTTGTGGAGTGATCATTATTATAACAAAGAAGAGCTACCTAATAATTTCCACTTTCACTCCGCAATATGCCACGAGCGTTTCTGAACCATTATGCTAAACTGTGGCGGGGTAATCATTTTATTGTCACAGTTTGAAGGAAGAAAAATCCCCTGTATATCAGTAGCTAGGGGAGCATGGGAACACAGGAACACACTGACACAGCACACGAGGAAAAGCTTCCTTCTTACTACCTGTGAGCTGAAGTTGGTACTTGCCATCCTTTGTCTGGAAGGTGATAATGTCTATTCTGAGAAGATAAGGATTTCAAAAGAACATTGTTTCCCTTGGAAATCACTAAGGTTTTTGTTCATAAATCCTTAAAATTAATCAATACAGACCTTCACTTGGAAGTCAGTGGCAAAGTACCCACAGGCTTCAATAAGTTTGGGGTTGCAGTGCCTCCCTCTAACATCTATATCTGTCAGCTGCAACCACAGGAGCAGCACAATGAAACATGTCAGATGTTAACACTGATTTGCCTTGATATTATGCAAAGGAGAGCAGCTCATTAAGACTCATAACCGTTAGGCCATTTCAGCAGGTGGAGGATGTGGCCGTATCACCTTCAGCAAGGAGCTGCAAGGTCCATACCTGCAGTTGGAGGTGTAATTGTTAGTTGTTCCTCAGTCCAATGACTGCTGTGAAAACATGCAGTGAATGTAATACACTCATGCCAGAGTCTTGAAATCTCACCCAGTAGTTAGGCTACCAAACTCTGGTTGTAGCTGACTGCCAGCTGCTCATTTATTTAAAAAAAAAAAAAAAAAAAAAAGCTTTATATGTGTAAGAATGTGTAATTATTCTTTTTCATTAGAATTCTTCTCTGAACTTAAATTCACTTCATATTATCCATCATATACACTTCATTGCCTTTATTAGAACTGGTCTAAAGTCCTTCATGGCATTTTTCTACTGGTGAAGTTTCAGACTTCAACTAAAATCTCTTTCTATAGAAAACCATAAATTTTAAATAACCTTTTAAAATTTGTTTTAAAAACATCATTTTAGAAATGATGCTTTGGTGTTACAGAAGTACATGTGAAGTGATAATATTTTGAAACAAAATGTTTTGTTTTTCTTGGATGTTTTAAAAAGTGTTAGAGTTAATTCCAGATAAATATTCTGGAACTTTGCAGTCTGGGGGGGGAAAAAAAAAATAGTAATTAAAAAAAAAAATTCTGTACTTTGGTTTGTCTTGTGACCAAAACAAAATGTAGAAAAATCAAGGTCTCCAATGAAAAGATTATTCTGCCTAGTTCTGTTTTTCTAGGGTTGCACAGAAGTAAACACCTTCCAGACAGCACTTTGAAAGTTGCCAAATGATTAACAGAAGAAGTATGAAGAGTTGAGGGCCTGAGCTGGCCAGACATTTGTACCAGGGGTGTAAATAGAGCTGAGGTCATTTCTTTGCCCCACCTCCCAGTGTTACCTGTGGTGATGTTGGCAAATAGGACCTGATTCTTCCATCCTCCTTCCTGGTGCTCCAAGGAAAGGGCCTGGGAAGAGTAAGTTTTTATTAATACCAATGTCCCAAATGACACTGGTTGTTGCGAAGATGTCATTGCATAAGCATGTTTTGAGCCTTCAAAAACAGGTAGTAGCCTGGATGCCTCCCTCAGCACGTCTCCTCAGGCTTCCCTGGGATGCATCTCTTCAGCACAGCTTCCTTTGTGGGGCAGCACCTTCATGGAGCCCTTCCAGTCTTTACAGACATTTGCATTTTAAGATAAGCTGTGGGGAAAGTTGGGAAGTGCCAGTTGGTTTTTTTGAGTGGTCCCAAGGGAAAATGTCACAAAATCTTTCAGGAATGCACAGCGCTCTCACTGCATCTCAGGTAGTATCTGGAAAGGGTGCCAACCTGCTTATTAAATCACCAAGTCCTGACTTTTCATCCTCAGAGGAGATGTCCTGGGCTATTGCCAGCAGTTTTGCTGAGGCACTGATTCAGCACAATTGCTACATATTTAAATGAAATTACACGTGCGAGTGGTCACATTGACTTTGCGGGTGAGAGTGTCCCCGGGAACAACCCACAGCCCCAGTTCAGCACAAGGACCTGAGTGTCTGATCAGAATCCCCCAGGCTGCCATAGCACTTGGCATGTGTTTGATGTTAAACACATACATGTATAAAGGTATGAGAATGGAATGCAGGAGGCAGCACAAACAGTGCAGCACCTTGCTCCTCTGAGTGCAATGTAGGCAGTGCAAAGAACATCAGAAGATAAATAGCAAGACCCTTAGTGGGGACCTGTAACTGCAGAACAGTGTCTTGCATTCATTTTAAAGATGAATTGAGTCTATAATTTTGAAGCCTGCATATGTTTTCTGTTAATGGCTTATGGTCTCAAACAGCTTTTATTCACTGGTATTTGGAAAAAAAATGTTTCATGTAGTCTGTAAGAAAAGTAGCTCATTCTCTGACACATGGGAAACTGATTATCTTTGGGTTTTATTGTGGGGTGTGTGCGTCCATGATCAACTGGCAATACTGGAAAGGGTGTAATTTGGAAGTAATTTTAATTTTTATTTATGAAAAAGTTTTATTCTGTGAAAGGGGTAAATGGCATTTTGAAAAGCTGCTTTCTCTGTAAATCCATTGCTGTCAGCTTGGCTGAAAGGAAAGCATTTGGTTTTGCACTTTGGTTTTTATGCACAGTTTTATACAAGTAACTTGAATCCAAATGAAACATATTGCAGTTCCTTCTGTGTGCGCACTACGTTTTTGTGACGGTAACGTTGGGATGTTTCTTTTGTTAGCTCATGTACAAGCTAATGGCTGTGCTCTGCCAAGTTTGGAGTAGGGTAATGATTTTTTTCTGCCTATGTGTTTGTGTTTTTCACTGGAGCTGGCATCTCCATCCGCTTAAGTAGTGGAAAAGTTTGTGCCTGACACAAACTTTTGTAGGTAGGGACGGGGTCTGTTTGCTCCCCATGCATGTGTTCCACCACTGGTGGTGTGAGGCTGTAGCAGTGCCCACAGAAACACTCACTGCTAAGAGTGACTCAACAGCTCCCTTTTCAGCTCTCTTGTGCTTCCCAGCTCCACGCCTGCTCAGCCCAGAGGCTGGGAAGGAGCTTCTCACCAGCCTCCTGACTCTTGCAATTAGCTCCAACTCACCAGACCTTCACTAAATAATCATAAAGCACAGGGTCTCTTTAGTGCTTTATGTCTGGAGCCTTTTAAAGTAGGCTTCTGTGAATGAATTAATTTACGGTCTTTACAATTAGAAGAATGTGGGGCACTACACGGCCACATTAAGTAATTCACTGGTGTAAGCCTGTTGTCTAGAATGGTGCCAACATGTGGGTGGCTTTCACACCCCTATCTTCCTAATAAATCCTTACCTTGTGAAGTGCCCAAGTGCACCCCCTTGAGCACCTCATCAAAATATTCAATGTTACAAACCAAATTAACAGCTCAGCCAGCCTTTCAACCAAGTAGCAATTCACAGCCAAATGCCAGCAACCTTAAAAGAAGAAGTATATATGCATATATACATATATGCAGCTAATGAAGTCCTGCAGACTGGTGTTGCAGAATCAGTGTGGGCAATGGCAGCCTTTCATGTACTTTCAGTAGAGCAAGCATCTTCTCTCTGCTGAGGACTAGGATCATATCTAAAATAAAGAATCTTTCTTTCCAACATTGATGTTGACTGATGGATGTTTTCTTCGCCTTAAGGAATCTTTTTTTCATGGCTAATGAAAAATGTTGAGGTACTGCTTTCCTTAAAATGTTACCTAACGGTATGGTGTCACATGTTCACCTCGTGCTATATTAGCAAGAAGTTGGTGATATTTGGGATGGAGTTGCTTAATTTCATGAACCTATATGACCACTCCAAGACTCCACAGCTGGGAGTTACCCAGGGCTTTTTGTTTTCTTTAAGTTAATTTTACAGTAGTATTATTCCTGTTGCTTCTGTGCAGTTAAATTCTGAGATACTTTGGTACTGCGGAGGAGAAGAGCCAGTACGTGAATGTTTATCACGCCCTATCCCACCACTGTATAAAGTTGAGCAAGATTCTGCTTAGATAGTATTAAACCAGAAGATCTAACACCAAGATTTGAGCTTACTACTTTGAGCAGTGCTTGAGTTTGCAACATCCTCTCAGGGCACTTAGTACATTTCATGCCAAAAAAAGTGACTAGTGAAAGTGAAGACAGACTCTATGAATATGGCAGAATGCATTGCATATGCTCCTTAGTTATCCAGTAGATGCAGTATAACTGGAATGACTAGATGACATGCTTGTAGATTTTGTGTTTTGGGGGGTTTTTTGTTGTTTTTTTGAGGTTTGTTTTATTGTTTTTATTTTTTTGTAGTAGGCAAAACATTAAGCAGGGCAGGGTTTAATACCAGAACAAGATGGATCTGATTGCAAAATAGTTAAAGAATTGCCGAGGGTTACACCCTTTTATTATCTACCCAATATTTTCCATAATATTTATAGGAGTATCCTTGATTAATTTAGGTTCTGATGGATAATAAAGCAAGCTCAGTGGAGATGGTTTTATTAACTCAGGTATTGTGCATTTCATATAGAATAAAGATAATAATTTGTCCTGATTTCCAGTTGGTCTCTGCCCATCGTGCTGTGAGTTTTTTTGTTAATTTAGGCTTTAAAAGTTAATTTTTTCAAAGCAAATAACAAAACAAAGCAGATGTTAATTGAGAAAAAATACTTCCAAAGATGTAGTTTGAGGTCATGCACATGTACTAGAAAGAACACGATTGCTGAAATCTTTGTGTTAGTAAGGGGGTAAAATGAAAGCTCTTTTTATTTCATTTTTCTCAAGTCTTCTATCATTAAAATCTGGTTCTAACAGCAGAATACTTCTCTTTTTCATGTGTGTTGAAAAGCAGCTACACCATGTATCAAAGCCATCAGTCCAAGTGAAGGATGGACTACAGGAGGTGCCACTGTCATCATCATAGGAGACAATTTCTTTGATGGGTTACAGGTCATATTCGGCACCATGCTGGTTTGGAGTGAGGTAGGTGTTGTCTGAACGGTAATGTCTAATAGCTTTGTCTAGCTCATAGCTAGCCTGTCCTTTTTCTATGCCACATGCTAAATCAGCAACAAATGTTGAGATCTGAGTCTTTTCCTCATGCAGTTTTATGAAAATAATTAGTCAAATTTACCTGTGGCAGAAATCCATTATAGCCGGGGGATTTATGTCTCCCCTCACTGGCCCAGAGTTTAGCTCAGTGCCTTTTTTTTCTTAAGAAAAGGGAAGGATAAATGCCTGAGTGAATAATTCTGCATTTAGCACTACAATTGCTGAGGGCCCACAGGAAGCAAATGTTTAGGTAAGCCTGCTTTTCAGGAAAAGTGGCTGCTTGTAGCTGCAGCTCAATGAGGTGGAGATTGCAAAAATCCAGCACCTCTGAATAGCATCTCCTTAAAGTGTGGGTGCTTGGTGTAAGTTCTGTCTGCATAATAGCAACCAAATGCACAGTGTTGTATCCACAGAGGAAAATACAGACTCATCCTATCTCGTGGGGGCCTCTGTAGTTTCTCAATAACCCTTATTTTTGTTTCTTATTTCTTTGCTGTTGCTGTTCCTCCCAGTTTCTTAAATCCTCTCTTCTCCTGACACATAATTAAACATGAAGTCTGATATTCCCCAAAAGTCTGTGGAAAGTTCTAACCCAGAGAGCATCACCCAAACAGCCACTTCAGTGCTCAGGGCTACTGGGTCAGAGTTCCCACTGGCTTCACTGGTGTGGGAAGGCAGCTCCAAGAAACGGTTTACATTTCACATTTATGACTTTTCAGAAGCATTTTGGAGGTTTTGTAAAAAATTCTTATTTTTGCTATGTTAATGCTGAAATAAAAACTCTAATCCAGCATCTCCAAAATAGCTGTATGGTGCTTACCCAGTGGCGTAAGGATCTTCTGGTGCTTTGCCTCATATTCTATAAATATGAAACCAACATTATAGCTTAATTCATATCCAGAACATTCCCCCTACTGATTCCTTTGCACATATGGCAGCATTTTTTCCATATGAAGAGTATCCTCTAATGTCCTTCATGGGCTTCACTATTCTCTCTCTTTCTCTCATCCTTCCCCTTGAGGACAAGTGTGGATGAAAGGGCATTCCAGAAAAGGAGATATATTAAATGAGCCCTATTCTGAAGCCCTTATGTGATCATGAAAGTGCCCCCTGGGTCTAGTGTAAGCATTTTGTGTGTTAGGATTGAAGCCATTATGGCTTCAGACACTTAACAGGGAAAGGTGAAGAGGCTGGGAGGAAAGTGCTCTGATTTTGGTACTGCAGAATCGGATCTTTCATTATTAAACTCAATTCTGTTTATTAGTGCAAGGCATTAATTGGCAATTTCTGACCTCAGGAGAGTGAGTGCTGGTCAAAACATTGTTGCTGATGGTTGCAAAGACCTTGTCATAAAATTAATAATGTTAGAGGGGTCCAGACCAAAGTCAGTCTGCTTGCTGTGAATGCCATAACAGGCTGCAAGTCGGCTTTGAGTGAAAACTGGTTCATTGCCTCTCCCTTACAGAATTGCTTCCCAGTTTCATAACCTATGAGAGCAAAAGAAAATTCTATAGGGGAAAAGAATTATTTCTAAAAGCAGCAGACAGACATGATAAACAAGTGCAGAAATGCATGAGCTGTCTGAGTGAACCCTAAATAATAGTGATCTATAAATAATTCAGATTCCACATACTAGCCACATATGAAGAACAAAATAAGTTCTTTCATTTGCCTTCCCATTTCTAAAAATGTCTACTGCATTTTCAGTTCCCAGGAAGAGTATTTTTGTTTTACTTTAATAGAGTGTAGAATTGAACTGTCAGTCTTCAAACCTGGAGCAGGTTCCTCCTGAGTTGCCAGTCAGACTCAGTCCTGAAAAACCTGGGCAGGTTATTTTGCCATTGAATTCAAGAACAATTTTCAAGTTCATCCAATTGTTTCATGGATCCAAAGAAAACTTGATTTTAACTGAGCTATAAAATATCCAAACCAAAGCTAGATAGGTGGAAACTAAAGAAAAAGAGTGAGTCTTGCAGAGCATTTTCATATGGATTTTTCTAGCTTCACATTCAGCTGTAATTGCAGGTGGTTTGGGGGGTGAAGTCTGATATTTAAATTAAGCATCATTTTGCCACAGACTTTGCGTGGGACCTTGGGCAAATCACATAATCTGCTTAAAGTTCAATTCCCTTTCTCTAACATAGTAATAAGATTAGTCACCTTCTTTGGAGAGGTGCTGTGAAGATAATTATTGTAAAGGTCCTAAATTACTCAGATTTTATTACTGCAAAAGCAATGTAACTACCTGAGATGCATGGATATTTAAAATATAAATCCTACCACAGTTCAGAAGCAAAGTTAAAAGCCAAAAAAAAAGTATTGCTCATTTTAAGGGTGAATTTGTTCCTGTCACGCAGCATATGTTATAAATAATTTGAAAAGTAAATAATATATTTTTAATTTATTTTACATGTATTCAAGTTTTGTAATTGAAATATTTATATGCTTGAAATGGAGTTGACTGTGTTAAAAAAAGGAGGTTTAAAATGGTTTCTGAAACACCTATTTATTATTTAAACATATATTTTAGCTGTAAACACTCTAACATAATTATAACCTTTCTCAGCCAGGAAGAACTAAATAAAAACTTAATTTTTCACATTAATTCTGCGCAGAAATGCACATACCCTAAGCCAGTTGGTTCAATTAATGCATAACTCCCATACTACTTTATAAAAATGACTTTAAGAGCCCTTGGTATTTTTAGAATACAGCAAAATGGGCCATCTAATGCCTTTTTTTCAAGGGAATTTCATAAGAAGCAAACAGCATTGGTGTATTGTGTGCACATGCTGCATCTGGACAGACAACTTGAAGCAAATAGTCTGTTTCCAGATAATTCTGCCTTTCTGTTTGTCCAGTCCACAAACAGAGTTGTTATTTGTAGGTTTTTACCCAACTTTTTGGGGCTCTATGTTGTTACAAATAGTAAAAAATCTGAGTGGCTAAAAAAATACCTCTGTTGTTTTTTTCTCTTATTGGGGGCTAAAACTCTGAAAGTCAAGTTTCAGGGCAGATTCATGATTGTGAAGGCAAAATTAGTTTCTTATAAATATTCCACAGTATTTGCTTAAAATGAACTATTTCTTCAAACACTTTCCTGCCAAGAACATTCCTCCAGCTGTACAGAGTCAGCTGGAAACAACTTCTTTTTTCTTTTATATTAAGAAAAGATGAAGCACTGAAACATCAGTTTCTTTTACCTTTGTACAGCACAAAAACAGGATGATTTTTTAGTTGAACTTTTTTTGTTGTGTTTTTTTGGGGTTTTTTTGATACTTCTGAATCAAGTTCTGTGACACAGTTTTTTGTTTTGCTTTTCATGTTTATTGTTGATTCTGGAAGTTTCTGTTTTTGAGTGCTTATTTTGGAGGTCTGACTCATTTTTAAAAAATGAGTAGGCACCCTCTTTTTGAAAGCCAAGGCTTATTAAGCAGCATCTGGATGCCCAGAATGGAAGCATGCAATGTCACTGGTCATTTTTAAAAAAATAGGTATCTTAAGGGTCCTGTTCTCAATGAAAGCTGTCATTACCTTCAGTTGGTGAGATTCTTCTTCATTCCTGTCCTAATGGTCCTCTTCACAGAGAGTCCAAGTTAAATTTATGACTTATTATCACCGTTCCCCTAACCAAAAACCAGAGCTCAAGCATGCAAAAATAAACTAGTGACTCAGATTAATGACATCTCCTTATAAAATGTCACTTTTAAAAAAGGAAAGTAACCTGGCAGTGTGAAATGATGCTGTATCACACAAGAATGTCTAGAATATATTAGCAAACCACAGAAAGAGGCTTGTTGTACACACTCAAACCAAACGTATTTTGGATTTTGAAGGACAATCCCTCCCTGCATTCTGAAGGTCTCTAACTCAGGTTTTAATGCAATCCACAACATGTTCCAACTGACATGTAAGAGTTTATATTAAACAGCTAGTGCAGTTGCCAAGTATCAGACCAATTAACTTGAAAATCCAGGTTCTAGTTGTATGTTAAGCTCCAGGTCTCAATTAGCTAAATGCTGGGAAGGAAGAAGAAGCTGGATCTGGGAATTTGGCTGTTGGGTTCATCTCCAAATTGCAAGTTAATGCGTTCCTCAAAGGTTACATTTTTAAAAATGTTTTCAGAAATGTACGTAACTTATATTTACAAATTCTTAGCTCTCGGTGTGTCATTGCTATGGTTGTTATGATGTCTGTTAATGCACAAGGGGTTCCCATCTGAAGTTAGAACATAGATGTGACCGTGTAGGGTCGGACACAGAAGTTACTCTGCTCAGTACCTTGTGTTTGGCACTGGACAATGACAGATGTCCATAAAAACAACAGGGTGAACATGCAGTGGTGCTTCACCAGGACACACTGCCAGCCTCCAACTGGGGCTCAAAGAATTCCGCAAGTAGTGTCTTTGCTTTTAATATTCCTTGATGCTAATAGCTCACCTTCTCCAGATGGTTTGCATGCACATAATAGACAAACTGTGCCTTGTAGAATGTACAGGCCAAAACATGCTAGGAAATGGTGGAGTGGACTCCCAAAGTTAGGTCACAGGTTGACAGTGTAGACAGGAAATCATCCCATAATCCCAGAATTACTGAAGTCAGGGACAGATTTGCTCTTGCCATGCATGGGCCTGGAGTCCCCAGACTCATGCAGCACCCACAGGATCACTCAGATTGCAAAATGGAGTGTAGGCAATTTGGAGAGCTGATATTGGTCCACAATGCAGATCCTGGCAGCACTTAGGGCATCAGAGTTCTGGACCAAAGGTGAGGTTCAGAGGGCAGGTTTGAAAGTACAGTGACATTGTTTGTCTCTTAAATACAATTTCTTGATATGGCCACCATATTGGGGTCTACTGGTGTGTAACTGAGCTAGCCAGTTCCCTTCTGTGTGCATGAGAACTGAATGTTGACCCAGTATAAAGGTTCTTCTAACTCAGCACCATATCCCTGACAGTGGTTAGCAGCAGATACTAAGGAGAAAAAGCAAAAGCAAAAGGCATGCCTGTTCTCCTGCTATACCTCCCAAGCTTTAGTTCTAGAGAAAAGAGGAGTAAAATATATCCTGAGTATCATAAACCATAGGACTTCAGACATAATGTTCATCCTTTGGGAATGTGTGGGCGACATTATTGTATATTTGTGGTTTTAAACACAGTTAAACTTATTTACTTCAGAGCACAAAGGAAAACCAAACTGTTTGTGGAGAACAAACCAGGAAACTTGCTTAACTCTCCCCAGCTCTCTGTAACAATGGACCATAAATAGGTCAGACATTTCTTGGGAACTAGGGGAGATGAGTATTGGAAAATGCCACAAATTATGCTTAAGGAACATTAAAGTGGTGACAGATCAGTAAATGCCGGGAAATTCTAAGATACAACCAGAAGCTGCCTGTACAGCTCATGCCAGAATGGGGGTGTGGGGTGCAAGGCACATGCTCATGTAGTAAGACTAACATATTAACCTTTACTATTAAAATCCTTGGCTGTTTTTACAGATATTTTCCCCCTAAAAATGTCATGAAACTTTTCTCAACTTGCCAGTTCACCCAGTTAACTAGAACCACTTGAGGACGGGTTTTATCTCAGCCATGTTTGGCTGCTGACAGTAAAACATCTAGTCTAAATGCAGCTCATCCCAAAGTGAGAGGTTTTTGGAAAGAAATTGGCAGTGCTTTCTGCCTCCTCTGACTATTGGCCTAGACTTTTAGGCTTTGGTCAGACCAACTGTGAAACAACTCAATTTAAGTAAAAGCACTCTTGGAAGCTTGGATTTTGGGGTGTTGTTTTTACCCAATGGATACAGAGTGAGTAATTTAGAAAAAAGTCAGGTTGCTTTTAAAAATAAGTGAGTTTCTAAATCATGTTATTTCAAAGCAGAGCCTGAAAACATGTTCTTTGCAGCTCACAGGTGGCTCTCAGACAGACATTACTTTCCTTCTGTGATTTTTCCTGTGCCCCAAACAAAGAACTGGTTAAAAGTCTGCTGGTTTCGGTAGGACCTTACTACAATTTGGAAATATGTAGTTCCTAGTAAAACTTTGCTTTTTGCCTTTATTTCTTTTTTTTTTAAGAGGGAAAAAAATAATAAAAAAGTAAATCTATTGAAATGTTTTCCCTAGTCTGGGGCATAATTCAACATAGTCTGTATAGGATGCCCATGGCTCTGCTCCCCATCAAGACTGGTTGTGGTCTTGGTCTTCTTTGTCTCTCTTGAAGTGTGTTAATGTGACACAGTCAGTTACAGAAGGATTATCCCTGTGCCAGAGTGGTATCTTGGTTGCTGGACACAATGATGTCACCTTTTCTATGTACCTCTTTTTACTGTTCTTGTCTGAGGGAGCATAATGAGTGAGAAGGGGACATGTCAGTGATGGGCAGGACAATGCTGTGGTTTCTGAGTGCAGCAGAGATTTGAGTTAACCTGCCATAAATTAGTGAACTTCTAGGTCTCTCTAATGTTAATTTCAGGAAGTATTTTAAAATCCAGTCCAGAATCCTGAAAGAGCAAAAATGGTCCAGAGCTTGGAGAGTGAAGCATTGACCCACCCCAACCTTTTTATGTTAAGATGATCAGGATCCCCAGCCCCATTAGTAAGAAAGTTAAGTCTTTCTCATTATTACCGTGTACATCCACATCTGCAGGATCCCTGGCAGATCTGTCAGTCATTGCAGTGAAGGCAGACTGGAAGTGCTGGTTATATTTGGTACATCTCTTTTGGGTGTGCTGATCATTTGCAAGGAAAGATCTCCCATCCTTCAGAAGCCAAACTTTGCATTTCTGCAGTGCTGAATTGTACCACCACAGGATGAATAGAGAATTAAAACAACACCAAGTGGTGCTTTTGCAGTGTACAGATGTTGGGTGGGGCCCAATGCCTTTAAAAGCCTTCCTGGGCTTGGGCTGTGCTGTGTTCACACAAGTAACTGCCTATCAGTTATCAGGCAGATTTGTTGGACACTGTCATGATCCTGTTGTTCACCTGAGCAAACACAGGCATCCTGCTGCTGTAAGCTGAGTTATTGCATATAAACCAGCGCTTATGCTTGCTAGAGGAAACTAGTGCCTGCCATGTATGAAAACAGAAATAATGTTGTTAAGACTGGGAAGGAGAATGCTTGTAAATATTGTAGTCACTGGCTTTTGTGTGGGTTACATCAAGATTATATTCAAACATTGACAGGTTAATTACACGTTTCAAAGCTTGTTTACTGTGATCTGAGAAGAAAGTGTTATTAAAGAATTGCTCAGCATCTAACAGTGCTTTTTTTTTTGCCTTTCTTCCTTCTTGATGTTTTCCTCTAGCTGATTACTCCTCATGCCATCCGTGTACAGACGCCTCCCCGACATATCCCTGGGGTTGTAGAAGTTACATTGTCCTACAAATCTAAGCAGTTTTGCAAGGGAACGCCTGGAAGATTCATTTACACAGGTAAGGATGTTTTAGGCCTAGATATAATGTGGAGAATCAGGGCAGGCAATATATCACACTTGCTGGAACTTCTTTGATCATTAAAAGCTGTAATTTATTTTATAATTTTGGCTGTGGACATCTTTGAAGGTACCGATTTACAGTTGGAATTTGGAAATGGACGACTGCAGAGATGTATCTGAAAACATACCAGGGTGGGATTTTTGTTTCCTTGTTTGTCCTTGCAATGGGACATCTCTTTACCCAGGAGGTAGGAGGAAGGAGAGAAACAGATACTCCAGTACTTAAATAGAGGAAGAGTGCAAACATAAAACCCAGACATACCAGAGCAATCACCAACCTGCCTTCCAAGAAGAGTCTTGCTAAGTATCTCCACCTCATGTTGTCTGACAGGTGTTCCAGGTGTTCAAATCAGCCTGTTTGCCTGCCCATCTCACCATGGTGTACTTTTCTCTGACTTATAGGGAGGCTTTCACACCAGTTGATGCTACAGACAAAATGACTTGCAGTGTTTTGGGGTGGCAATGTGTTCAGTGGTCCCACCCTGACACCACTAAATCGAGAGGTTTGGCCTGAAGAATTATTAAGAAAAGCCACTCTAGGACATTGCACGTGTTGTCAATGTTAAACCACTCTCAGTAGTAATAAGAAAGGCTTGGGAAATTAGTCAAGTAACAGCCTAACTTTTTTAAAAAGCAATATGTGTTGTTGATTCCTTGGAATATATGCATGTTACATGAATTAATGACTTGGTCCAGGTTTTTATGTATTTGTCCTTTTATGTGCATGTTATTCAACATACGCAGATAGGACCACTGTAACTGTTTGCCTGAACTGTCATTCATCACAATCCAGTGCAATTACTTTCCCCGGTCTTGATTGCCCTGAATCATTAAGTGTAAATTATATAATAAATAGTAATGGCTAAAAGGCATTCTGAGCTACACTGGGCACGTACATTGTTCCAACTGTGAATATTCACACAGGAACTTGAGGCAAAGGAGAGACTTCTGTGCTCCAGCTGGGTAGCAGAGCTCTCATTTGATTTTTCTTAACACTGGGCAAGTTGAACAAAGGTGCCTTATAAAGCTTTGTTGTCTTTTTCAAATACCCTCTCCCCCAGTTGAATTTATACACTGGATTTCTTTAAACTGGGTCTTAAAGTGTTCATGTATTGCCTTGCTGGCTGAGCAGCAGGCGCTTCTGGAGGCTGTGTGTATTTTTTGTGAGCATTATGATTTCAACAATGTGTGGGAAATTCATATATTGCACAATAACACACCATATCAAAAAAGTTATTTAGGGTTTGAATCTGTTGGAACAAAAGAAAAAAGAAAAAGCAAGGGGTCAAATTGCCAGCTGGTGCCAATTGTCCATGTACACCACATGAAAGTCTCAGCCAGAGCTCTGGACAATTTGACCATGAATCCTTTCCCTTCTCACTTTCTTACTCACAGTAAGTTGTGCTGTCCTGCTTGTTGTCAAGCCACTGGGATGGCTGTATCTTGGGCTGCTGAAACAGCAAACATGCATGCAGAAGAAGAAGAGGAGGAAACCTGCCTCCCTTGACTTTGCAAAGAAATTTTCAGGGACTTTGTTTTGTGAGTTAAATGTAAAAATGGCTTGGACCCATTTTGATGTTGCTTTTTAAATCATCATTAATTAGCTTTTTCAGTAAAAAGGAGGGCAGCAGTTTAGCTTGTCTGCCCAGAAGCAGATGGCTGAATGTGGAAATAAGGTGTCCCAGTAGGCAGAGTGTTTCCATATATGCATTTTTCAGGTTAGTGTTTAAAACACATTATTTTTCATTCAATAAATGGAAGATATGAAATACTAAACAACAATGATAAAATCAGAGGTGATCCAATCCATGGACAATTCTCTTACTTATGCAGCTTTTATGGAGTTACGGGAGACACAGAAAAGCTATTGTGACTGAAATCGTACCTCACACAATTTGCATTTTCCTTTTAAAGGCAGCCTGAGCTTAAATGTGGCCTTTTACAAAGGACTAAATGAAACTAAAATAAAAACAATTAATGCATCCTAACCTTCAGAAGTGCCTTCCAGTCCTTTAAACAAAATGCAGGTTCAGTACCCGCCTGCCGATTAGTTTTAGTTAATTGAAAATTATAGGATTGACCCAAGAGGAAAATTTTGTTTGCACTCCAATCACTTTTACAAATTAAGGAAAATTACCACAATTTTGTTTAGCTAAGGTTTCACACTGAGTTCACGAAATTAGCTCAGCCATCCCAACAAAGTCAGCACTTTGTTAGTGAGCACTAGAAAAAAACTAATAGTCTATGGTGTGTACAAACGAAGCATAGAAAAAGCTATGATGCTTTAGAGAACTAGGCCAAGTGTTTTTAATTAGGATTATTGGTTCATTGTAAGTTTTGAAGAACAATCAAACTAGCAGATTAGCTGTTTCTTTTAAAGCTAGAATTTCTTGCCATTCATTTTTCCCATGAGAACTTGTTTTAACTCCCACATAGCACTATTTTTCTTCCTATTTTTTTCTTTTTTTTTTTTCCTTTCTCTCTTTTTTTTTAATTTTTTTTTTATTCTAAACAAGGCCTGCAGGAAATGGACCAATTGGAAGTTGGGATACAGTAACATTCCCCAGCATCACTGCAGCCGATGGGAGTTTTTCACAATGTTCTTCAGTGAACTCAGTGTTCTGGAACATATTACAAAACCACAGAGGCCAAATGTTTTCTCAGAGGAGTTTGGCCTCTGTTTTTGGCCGAAAACATTTCAGCATCACTTGCTGCTTATTTACCCTGCTATTAAGAACAAGAAAAGGGGAGAGGAGAAAAAGGAGGGGGGAAAAAAAAAAAAAAAAAAGAGAAAGAAAAAAAAAGAGAGTGTGTGTGAGAGAAAAAAAGACCTGGGGTTTGTGGGCGGTGCAGGAGTCGATCAAGCGTAGTTTCCTTTCTGGTGAGAATGTCCCTGCTCGTTAATGGTCCCATTTTGTGGTCAGGTCTCATTTAGAAGAAATTATTTTTAATCAGTGTTCAACAAAATATCCCCTCAAGCCACCTGGCTGTAAACTGTTTTTTTCTTACTGTTAAGTACTTAAGTTCTCAGAAGAAAATACCCAGTGACCCATTAATTTTAGCCTTTTTTTCCCCTTTAACTGCAAATAACTTAGTAACATGATCTCTAGGTAGTCCATGTGCCATCTAGGAATCAAGTTCACGTATATACAGAGAAATCCTGGCTTTTGTAGGTATTTTTGTAAGAAATAAACCAGTGGCAACTCTGTGCTTACAAGAAAACAGAAGAGTATTTTATTTTTTATTTTCCTTCTGCAAAGCAAGCCATTAGCATGCACTTACAGAGCAATGATTTCTTAGTTTTTAAGCTTTGACATTCCTGAGAGAATGTTGTGAGAAATACAGAAGTCTGAGCATATCTCACATGTGTGTTAATTTTGGAAAAATATTAGAAGTCCATATTGCACTTAGAGATGCCCACAGGTGCTGGTCAGTATTTCGCTGTGGCACCCTTCATTTCTGGGTCTCTTCAGGTATTGAGGAACACTGAATCAATTAAGCTTCATGTCACAACTTAGGACTCAAGTATATGTATCATTAACATTATTCTAAGACTGGAGGAAATGAGATAAAAGAAGAAATCCTTAGGGATACAAATCCTTAGGTAGTTTTATAAGATGATTCAGGGTGTATATGGTTTAGTTAAATAAGAGATGAGAACTGGCACAAATTTGTGATGCTTGGACAGGCCTTTGTAATTATTATTATTTTTTTTATTTTGCTTTGTTTTAATTTACGAAAATGGATGCAACATGGACAGCATAATTTTCACAAATGGATTTTCCTCTGGATGGTGGTACTAAACCGTGGAGATTGAGTGAGACTGCACAAATGTATGTGATAGGAGAATTTATCTCCCTGTGTATTGGAAAGGACATATGGAAGGTCCATAAAAATGCATTATGCTCTGTCTTCTACCACCTGTTCAGTTTAAGGTTTTGTGCTTTTGTTCCAAAAGTGGAGCAAAGTACTACACAGGGGTGGGTAGTACAGAGCTTTGTCACTAAGGTTATATATACAACATGGGGTTAATTCAGATTCTTGGCTGAGCAGTGCCCCAAACACTGTTCCTTTCTTTTAAAATTTGTTACGTGGTTGGATACAGGTTGGAATTTAGGTACCATTTTCATCTGCATTACTCTTGCAGGGATGCTGTGGGCTAAACCGTGTGTGTGCTGACAGAGTTTGGAGAGAAACAGGCAAGTCCACCCCCCCCAGTTCATTTGGGGTTTGTTAGAAGCTATGGGATATGGTGTGATTCCAGAAGTGCTAACAACAATAATCATGACTGGATGCAGGGTCATCACAGACACACAGGGCTTGCTGTGTGGTGTGAACAACCCAGATGCTGAGCACTGATCCTCCAGGGTAGCTGTGACGGCAGCCGAGTAGGTCAGAGTGGAGCACGACCAAGACTGACCAGTGTTTGCTTTAGGCTTTTGGGCCGTTGTGTGTGCAGTGATGTAGAAATGCTTGTGCTGTGAAGGTCAGGTTGTTCGCAGAATTTCTGGGAAAGTGTCTCTTTCTCTGAAATGTCATAGGGCTTCTCAGGGAACTTTTCACTTCCCTGGTTGCGACAAGGAAGAAATAGCCTCATGTGGAAAATCCCTGCTCCATCCTCATTTCACCCTTTATTTACTTCTGAAAACATTTCTGTCTGTGTACAAACAGGAAGAGCCTTGTGGGTCACAGATAATTTGGGTAACGCTTTCAAAAGCCTCAGTTTTAGACGGCTTCATTTTTAGGTTTTTATCTTGAAATGATTTAATTTAAGCACAGAAGTAGTTGTTTTGAAGAATCATTCTTTTCCCATTTCTTAAGTCAAATACCTCCAAGAGTAAGGGACTGTAAACTACCTTTCACCATTTAAAATTTCAGTCCATGGCCCCAGAAGCAGAAGTTTAAGTCATGTACACAGGTCTGGTCAGAACTGGAACC